CACGAAAAATTAAATTAATGCACAATAAAATGTCCATCCTCCTTGCTATTTGTTACTCATGCCTCTCATCAACAGTCACCAGTTTTGTTTTCCAGTCTTGAGCCAAAAAACAAGCTGAGAAAATAGAGCAACATCCATTAACTGATTCTTCGTCCCTCTTAACCTGCGTCATCTTAACAGTGTCATCTTGAAACATTTTCTCCCACCACTGTCTGCATTTTCATCTGATTTTGATGGATAAACAGCTGTAATATCTAAGTGTAAGTGTTATTGCCGTCTGTATGTGTTGGGATATCGAAGGATTCTCCATCAAAACCTTTATTCCCCCTATAAAGCAGGCTTTTTTTGTTGCAGGGCGTTAAACACGGCGACCAAATAGGAAGAGACTCCTAATAGCCCATTTCCCTTGAGAGCATGGCCATTTACAACAACCAATCATACAGTCTAGAAAGGGGCCTCAATTCTCTTTGCAAATAATGAGATAATGCACAAAGGCAACAGCACATTTCTTTCCCCATATTTATGGTGTCAAGGAGAGTGATGATTTATGAGCAGAACAGGATAAAATGCATGCACGTAGAATTATGATAAATCAAAAAATTCAGGGTAATGCACAAGATCGTGCTATTTTTCCACACTCACACCTTCAACCACTTACAGTAAAATTGATTTAGCATGGTGTAAGCTGCAGTGCATGCTGGTCCTGAACATGCACAGGTTTGAGGCATAAATAGAATACTGTCATTCTCGTGTAAAACCGTGGGACGGTCGATAAAAAGCTCAGTGGGAGTGTTTTACTGTTAAGTGCTTGCATGGTAATGGCCTCAAGCCTCTTAAGGCAGCCACAGTGTGACTCCTCTCACCCACCCACAGGTGAGATTTCAATAAGTCTAACAACCTCTTTTCTTATTTCAGCCTGAGCTCAAACTCACATAATGTAAGGTGACCTGTGAAATATCAAGGTTGAAGAACACTGCTGCACTCCTGTGGTGACACTTTTTCAAAAAGCGAGGCAGCTAGGTATGATGATTGGCTAGTTTTCAGTAGTGGAGGACATTTTTAGATCCTTAAGCCACCGTAGCAATACTACAACATACAAACAAAATTACAAGTCTTAAGATTTAAGATGAAGTTTGGCATTTTAGGAAATATGCTTATTCGCTTTCTGGTGGAGAGTTGCTTTAGTCCCACTAAAACACGGCTAAACGTTCAGTTCAGCTGGCTAACTGCTTTGCAAATTGAGAGCTAAAGTCCGACCCTATCGTGGACAGCACATATTGTTTTGTGACACGTAATTGAAAATAAAATATTTGTCACTACTTCCTACTCCGACTCACTCAGGGCTCATGTTCACTGTGTAGTACGTCAACGAATCGCTTGCGAATTACGCCAATGCACAATGCATGAAGGGCCCCATTGCAAGGGTCCAAGTGTACACTGTTATGATGGGCTGTAGTACACCCAGTGCATACTATAATGAAGAGTACAGTGCACGCTATCATGACGGGCCCCAGTGCATGCTGTTATAAAGTGCCCTATTGCACCAACTGCACACTATTATGACGGGCCTTAGTACGTCCAGTGCACGCTGTTATGATGGGACCCAGTGCAGTCCTAATGAAAGAAAGAAAGGGAACACTATTAACAGAGTTCAATTAATATGATAAACACAAAGCAAAGACTATACTGACTTCAATACTTGAAAATATATATTCAAAGAAATCCCATTCTAGCTGTTTATTGTAAATTGTCAAGTAATTGGCGCACTATTATGTGCTAATGAGCAGTCCTTAAAGAAGAGCATGTCTCCATTATTTCAACACCACGTCAGAAAGGCCACAGTCATTTTTAAGGGTGTGCCTGTGACCTTTTATATTTCAGTCATTATTAGCCAACAGCATGGCAGCGAGCCAGAGAGCAGTCTCCATTCCTCCACACTGATCAGGAGAGAGAAGTCTCATCCTAATTCATTTAAGGAACCCAACAATACACACTTACAAAGATTAGAGCCTCGGGGATTCGCAGGAACAGATAGAGATTATATTTCTCGCTTGAAAGGAGCAGCAATAGTTAAGGTGGAGGAGAGAGCCTTTGTGCACTTTCCCCAAAACAAAAATTTTCATCTAGAGGGAATTTTGTACCAGCACTTCCTCAACCTTTAACCTCCAGGATACAATTCGGAGAGGTAGAATGAAAGACATACACCAAACCTATGCAGATTTCCCTTTCGCTCTTTGGGGAGCATTTACAAACGAGGTTTAATTTTCATAAGTAACAGCCTCTAGAGGAGGCAATGTGTTATATTTTATATGAGTAATAAATTACATTTGGGGCTGCACTTTCTGTGATCAAGGCTTGAGGACATGGGTGTGTGGGCACGCAGAAGATACACACACAAATACACTACGAGAGAGAGAGAGACCTAAGGAAACAGAGAGATATTTAAACACACCCAGAAGAGGTCAGCTGGAAGACTCAGCCATTGCACTGCCCACACACTCCCACATGCTCAACATCATTAAAAACAAATGGGCACGACTGAAACAATGCTGCAATCTGCGATGCAACCAACACCCTAGTGAGACGGATCTGTTGGAGTAAGAATTTGCCGCAAGAATAACAGAAAACCTCAAGGAAGGAGCGCTTTGATTTTTTGCGATTCTGCGTTACCACTCTAAATTACAGCTTTTGGACTATGCTCTTAAGAGAGTATGATAAAAAAAAAAAAAATCTAGTTTGTCAATACTTTGAATTTTACCAATATACTTTGAAATTAGGTGCCTCACAGATCAATATTAATATAACCTGAATATATTAGCATCCCATCCTAATTTACTTTGACAGATTTTTGGCTGGGATCTGTTAAGTAAATTGGTTCTTAAATGCACTGCTCTGTCTGTTCAGCTCATTGCTTTGAAAATGTATTGAGTGTCTTACGCCACCCAGTGGGCTGGACAATATCCAAACAATGGGAGTGATCAAGGAGACATCTTAAGAAGGTAGTGCACAGTAACAGAATGAATCATAACGTTTTATTTCAGCTTTTGACACAGTGAATTTATCATTTGACATCTGATTTTAGTGGAATGTAGAGACCAGAGTTTTAAACATTTACCACCTCCCCATCACTGATTTTGAATCTTGTGAAGTCCAAGCTCTCTGTCTGTTAAAGAGACCACTTGTCTGTGTTTAAGAGCTTCAGGCCATGTACATGTCACCTCCTCCAAGAAGATGACATTTTGAGGATGGACAGCTAGCCACTTCCACAGATACTTCATCGTCTCATCGCACACCCAGGGGTTTCCTCTTAAAATAATCTGGAAAGAGGATTTTCTGTCATCCAGCAGCCCCGTGGGGGCATGCTGCAGCTGGTTCTGATTGAGCAGCAGAAGTTGGAGATGTTGAAGACCCTGGAGGAGGGTCCCTGGCAGCTCTTGGAGCTGATTATCCTGCAAAAACAGCTGAGATAGTTTCAGGTTGTGGGTGAAGATTGTAGGTTTCAAGGAGCTTAAGTTGTTACCGGCGAGATTCAGTGTCTCCAGGCGGAGCAGGTTCTTTAGGGCGTCGGGTTGTAGGTCTTGCAAATTGTTGTCACTAAAGTCTAGATTCTCCAGACTGGGCAGCTTCTGAAGAAGAGCGGCGGGCACAACCCTTAAACGGTTTCCAGACAAATCCAACCAGGTGATGCTACTGTTGCCAGAAAACCACTCAGCATCAGCTTTTTCAATCAGATTATTCTTCAGCACAAGACTACAAAGTGAGTCATGGCTGAAGACATTAGAAGGAAGATAAACCAGCTGATTTCCTGTCAGATCCAACATGTTCAAGTGAGGAACGTTCTTCAGTAGATCTGAAGGAAGGCTTTTTAGCTTGTTGTGATACAGCTGGAGGTTGTTTAAAAGGGGTACAGCACTCAGATGGCTTGCTGTAATGCTGCTGAGGTTGGTGGACTGGATGGATAGTCGAGTGGTGTTGGAAGGTAGACCATCTACAGGGAAATGTGTAAGAGCGCTTTGGCTACACACCACCTCTGTAAAGGAACAGGAGCACAGATCTGGGCAAGAGTGGGCGCATTCAGCCAATGCAGTGAAAGTCAGGAGCATCCACAAGTTCATCTTTAAAGCACTGCATGAAGGAAACATACACAGTGTAAGAGACGTATAACAAGAAAATGTAATAATCGAAAAATAAATGATCAGGTATTTACAAGTAATATCACCGTTTCTGAGAATCTGATAAGAAATAAGAAACCCTGAATCCTACCTGAAAAGCACAGCAGAATTGCTTCTGTTTTTAGATCACGGCTTGGTTTCATGCAATGTTGAGTGTTTTTGTTCCCAGCAGTAAATCAGGACAACATGTTGCAATAGGCAAACAAAACCAGGCAAACAAACCAGCTCATCGACCAGTGAGTGATTACTTTTTTCTGTACTTTCCAAAGATAAAAGACACACAAATCAATAATTAATTTTTTCATTCCTGCAAGAACATTTTTATGCAGTGGTAAAATGTTGTTTTAAGTGATTTGTAAATCTTTGATTTGCGAAACACCTTATTTCCGAAAACTGAATGAATCAGGTATTCAATTTTAATCCATTTTAATTCTTGGTGTTTGGATTTGTCTTTCTTTAAGGGACATACAATCTGTTGAAGGAATAGTTTGACATTTTGGAAAATATGCTTATCCTGCTGAGAGTTAGATGAGAATATTGATACCACTCTCATATCTGTCAATTGGAGATGAAGCTTCAGACTGCAGCCAATTAGCTTAGCTGAGCGTAAAGACTGGAAACAGCTTGCCTGGCTCTGTCCAAAAAGCTGCCTACATGCACCTCTGAGGCTCAATAATTATAATATATTTATGTAATATCTCGTTCGTACAAAAAATAATACGTTTTGGTTTTTACAGGGTCGTATGCGGTGTTGGTAGATGGATTGGTTACCTTTTAGACAGAGACACATTTTATCTGCAATTAAAGTAAAGACAGAGAAGACAGACGTTCTTGTATGCTCTCTTTACTCATATCATATTTAATTATACATTCACATTACATTAACAAAAGAGAATGTTTCAGTGATTGAAAAATATGACCGGCTGAACTGGATACATCACCATGTCAGATGATAACCAGTATGAGGATGGAAAACATTAAGACTGAAGGTTTAGTTCATCTTCAGTCAGTGACATTAATGAGCGCCCCACCAGAGACTGCGGTCTGGCACATGTGATGGTCTCTGGCAGGAAGACCTTCTTCTTGTTCTTCTGAAGCCACCTCCGGAGGTACTTCACCTTCCCATCACACAGCCAGGGGTTGGAGGTCAGGTCCAGCCCCTCCTCATCCAGGGAGATCAGAGGGTCCAGCAAACCTTCAGGGATGTGGCTCAGCTGGTTTTCATCCAGACTCAGGAGTTTGAGCTGAGTGAGCCCCTGAAAAAGGTTTTGGGGGAGTTTGTTGAGGATATTCCGAGAGAGAAACAGATAGGTGAGGTTACGGCTGCTCTGAAGTACCGATGCATCCAGGGTGTCTAGCTTGTTGTTACACAGGTTTAACCTATCGAGTTTGGTCAGTGCGTCCAGAGAATTTGCAGAGATCTGCTCCAGACGGTTATAGGCAAGGTCCAGATTCTCCAGGTGGCGCAGCTTCTGAAGCAGCGCCGTTGGGATCTTCGTTAAACTGTTCCCAGACATGTCCAACCAGGTGATGTTGCTGTTATTAGGTAGCCACTCAGCATCAGCTTTTTTAATCACATTGTTCTTGAGCACCAAGTTGCGGAGTGGGGCGTGGTTAAAGACATCTGCAGGTAGGTCAGAAAGTTGGTTCCCTGTGAGATCCAAAGTGTTGAGGCAAGGAACGCCTCTGAGGAGATGAGCGGAAAGGCTCTGCAGGTGGTTGCTGTACAGGTGGAGCCCCTGCAGCAGGGGCGTGGCGTTCAGCTGCTGCTCGGAGATGGAGGTGATGTTGGTGAACTGGATGGTCAGCAAGGTGGTGTTCTTGGAGAGACCCTCGGAGGGGTACTCTGTCAGAGGGACCTCATTGCAGACCACCTCAGCTCTTCTGTGGTAGCATTTGCAAAGTGGCGGGCAGGACAGAGCGCCATGCCAGAAATATGCCAAAAAGAGAAAAGCCAGGCCACACCAGGACCTCATTACTAGAAGAAGAGGGACAGAGTTAAAGATCAGGAAAATAAATGACTTAAAGATCCCACTTAAGTATTTCACCACTGCAAAACATCACAAATCAATTCCAGTTTGTACACATGATGTTCAGTACCATGAGTAAGAAGATAAAACGTATGTTCATGCACATGAAGTTCAGTACCTTGAGTTACAAAATAAAACTTACTGTTGATTTCTAGTTGGGACGAGTGTCAGCCAGACTGCTCCTTATGTCAGATTCAGCAGTGGTCACTTGCAAATTACTGAGTAATTTGGGGAGCAGAATCCCCCAATCTAATCATTACTTATTGAGTAAACAAGGACTCACCACACAGTCATTCATCAAGGACAGGCAGTTGCAACAGACTGTGACTCGAAGCTGCAGGGAAAGTACAAAACTTTGAAACCTTGAAATTTTATTGAGTACAATGTTATTGTTCTTCCAAAAACTAATTCTGAAATAGGATGTTGAGATCGACAGAATGTGTTCATGTGAGTTTATGCATTTTACGATTCTGATGGTTTGCCACTGAGTGACAAACTAAGTTAAATGTTATTTTGCACTTTGGATTTTTTAGATATGGCGGAGGAGGAGCATGTAGCATGTTGTTGCTTGTTGTTGGTGATCCTTGCTCTACTGTCCAGTTTGTGTAGTTTACTAGTTGTTAATTTAATTAATACCACTCTATTCATTGTATATACTGTGCATTTCTATTCTATCTTATTTATTAATCTATTCCTTCAAATTCAATATCTGCTCTGTTATTTTATTGCACTGTATATATTGTGCATTCCATACATTATATTTTACTCTGTAAATTGCTGCTGCTACAATCTAATTTCCCCCTGGAGATGAATAAAGTTTATATCCATCTATCTACGTATGTAGGAAATAAAATGCATGATAATCAAATTAAAATGAGATGGATTTTATTTATTTTTCTGAAAATGTAATTAATCTTCAGAAAAGCTGTTCATGCCACAGAATGTTTTAGAAATTATTCTCACAAATGCAACATTTTTTTTTTAAGTTGCATAGTTTTAGGTTATATAGCATTAAGCACTGAACAAGAGTTCAATAAATGCTTTATTTCATATATTTTAAGCTACTTAATTTACTCCATTTGAAGAGTAAAATGTCTCCATTTGTTACCATTGTTTGTAACCAAAGCAGAAACATATTGATGCCTCTACTTATATAAAAGTTTCCATAATAATGTTCCATTACAAGTAGCTCTGCATCCATACTGTAATAAGTACTGTATTCCAGGTAATATTAAAAGTAAAATCAATTCACTTTTAATGAGCAATTTACTGTTGTAGCTGGTTGAGTTGGAGCTAATTTTAACTACATAATGCTGGGTGTAAACATATCTCAATAACATTCTGATCATGTGTTGTATGTAAAATGTATCAACAATAAAAGTTCTGATAATGCAGAAAAATGTCCCTGTGAGTGTGATACTAATATACAGTATATATTGCATTTGTATTACCGATGCATTAATGTGCAAATAGTGAAAACACTCTAAAAAGAATAGTTCTCTCTGAATTGTGCTGCGGTAGAAGTATAAAGTTGCATGAATTGGAAATGCATAAGTAAAATAGTACATCAGATGTGTCTACTACACACTTTAACACACTACTGCATGAAAGACATCATTTTTAGAAATATAAATCAAAAGACGAGAGACAAATTAATGTTGAATCACGATGAGAAGGAAGAAATGCCAGGAGAAGGCTGCGTGCCATCTGTGGTCGCAGGGGTCGGTACAGCAGGTTTCATGGTTATTTAACCAGAACATACAGTACAGTCACACAGCTGATAAGACGGAATGGATGAGACCTGCCGTATGAAATACGATTTTAGCAGATGGGCAACAACATGAACCATTACATTATGTATGATGAGTGCCAGTTGGCTTTAGGCTGTTCTGAAAGATTTATTTCAGTCAAGCCCACTCACTCCACATGCACTGGTGAGATAGAGACAGACCTATTCTGGTATAGTTTAAATAGTCTCCTGAAATACACTGTAGTCAAGTGCAACACCTCAGAAGCATCACTACAATACTCCTGTAACATTTCTGTGTTGATAGTGTCGATGTTGTGACATCACTTTCGTATTATTATAAAGTGTACACAGCTGTATGATTCTTAATGAGTATATCTTCAGACCATTAAGATCTCACTGATACCACACTAATAATTCAGGTACGTATCAACAGGTTAAACAGACGTGATAAAACATGTTTATTGGTGAGCTTTAGAGGTGCTGCTAAACAGACGTCCAGTTTTCCCAAATTCTTCCTGACAAAAACAAAGACAAACTCACTTGAACTTGATTTTATACATTTCAGTCACTGCCTGTTTACTGCTTCATGCAGCGTCTACATTTTAGTGGCGGGTGTGATATTCAGACTGAAAGGTTAAAAATAAGACAATATAAATCATTGTCATGCTTTTTTTTTTATGTTGATATATATCCTACATGTTGAATTTTAATAAACAATGAATGAAACATGAATTATACATTTTCTGGGTAAGAGAATTTATTTGAATTTCCCATGAATGGCGAGAAGAAAAACACATTTTCTGTTCGATTCACATTATTCTGTCTTATGTTGTAATCAATCTACTTTGTGTAATTAAAACTGCATGTATTAAAAAGACAGGAATATTCTGTTAAATGATCTGCTGACTTGTAGCCTTAAAAATAGAACAATCATATACTATGAGCTACACTTTCTGTGTTACGATACACAGACAGACCTCTTGATCCTATATACAAATGTTCACACACATGCCAAACACCTCACAAACAAATCCATGTGAGTCACTGCCTCCGACAGAATAAAAAGTCCCGTGTTTTTTCTCATGATGGTTATGAAATAAGGCAGTTTTAATCACAGTTTTTTTTTTTTCTTTAGATGAAGTCTCACTCTTATATGAATACCCATTTTCTTGAATGACCAAAAAAATGACAAAGGCAGCCCCAGTTCTCATGACAACTGCCTGTTTCTGTGAATGTTTCTGTCCATGATTAGCGCTTTCTTTTCAGTCTACTTCCCTTAAGAAATAACACATGTAGGCACTGCTTCCAGAATCCGGTCATTAATCCGCAAAGATGAAAAGACGACATCTTTGATTAGCCAGGGTTAACTGTGAAGAGAGAGATAAAGAGAGAAAGAAAATGTGTAAACCTGGGATGCTACCAACAGAATGGCTGGACTTCAAAGGCACACCCACACAAAATCCACACATATTAAACGAGGAAGCTATCCGGTAGACACACAATGCACGAATAAAATGCAAAAAAACAAACAAAACGGACAGATATGGGAATAATCTTAGCCTGTATGTTTGCAAGAGGTGAAATATTAAAGCACATTATACGCTTGTTCGCTTTTTGGCCTTTTGAAGAGAATGATAACACTTATGTCTGTACAGTATATGCAGCTACAGCCAGCAGATGACTAGCTTAGCTTAGCATAAAGACCCTAGCAAAATTCTTGATATTTGTTAACTACAGTTGGATAACTACAGTGTTGCTGGTAGACAGATGCTGTTGTTTTCGAACAGAACCAGGTTTATGCTAAGCTTAGCTAACTGGCTGCAGCTTCATATTTATTGTACAGACATGAGAGTTGCATAGTCACGTAACTCTCTGCTGGAAAGCAAATATGTGTATTTCCCAATCTGTCAAACTTTAATATTTTACTTCTTGCAAACATGCAGACCAAGATTACCGATATATCAATTGGCTTTTCGTTCAAAAAGCATGTGCAGAAAGCATACTTCCCAAACCGTCAAACTATTCTTGTAGCAACGATGCTGTTCAAACACGGAGTTTGTTTTCCACTCAACTGAAATTTTTTAAAAATCACACAAAAACATGCCTCATACTAACTGCAAACACACATATAGAGGTCCAGTTACCCTCTGTACCCCCTCTTTCACTTCCTTCAGAGGAACATATCATCATCATCATCATCATCATCATCATCATCATCATCGACATCATCCAACGGCCAACTCCAGTCTTTGAGGCCAAACTCAAGCAATCTGAAAAAGTAAGTATGAGGTTCATCTTGGGGGTCAAAGGCTTTTCGTGCTTCATAACTGCTGGGGCAATATAGGCCAAGTTCAGCAGGGGGCAGTGCAGAGCAGCGAGTAGTGAATTCAGTGACTGAATGCTGCTTGCTATGATGAGGCTAGTGTTAATGGACACGGCAGCGCGGCGTAATGGAATGGCGGACAAGCGCAACAAGCTTCGCTACTTACTGTCTCCCAGCATGAGAGACGTTAGAATGGTGGGGTCAGAGGTCAATGGAGGATGATACGGAGCATGGGGCCAGTGCTGAGGGATGAGAGCCAGTTAGATTGTGACAGAGAGAGCAAACTCAACTGAGTGTCTTAGTTAATGACAGAAAACAAGACAGTTACAGTTAGTGATACTCTCATAATGGTTTCCTACTCAATTAGGTGGCTGCTGATGCGGTGTGAGAAGCCATGTTGGAGCATTAATGCTGCATACAGCGTTATGCAAATGACTCAGGAACCTTGTTTAGAGCATTACATCACATGGCAGCCACATCTTTAGGCCCCTTTCAACTGCATATGATTCAGAAACAACAAAGTAAGTAGTAAGGCTAGTTGTTTTGGTTATGATTCAGTTTTAAAAAATTTTTTTTTACTGAAATTTAATTAGATTTCTGTAAGATTAGCTCATATTTTGAGTTACGCTTACTACTGCGAAACGACACTGATTACTAGTTGACAATGAATTAAATTATCTTGGGACACCGAAAAGGTGATGTTAGAAAAAATTAGGAGAAAACACAAATAAGCTGTTGATTAGCACCCGAGTCCAAAAGTAAACAGTTTTAAAATGACCATTTACAAAAATCTGAAATGTCAATTTTTATTTGAGATAGTCACCCCCCCTTTTTTTAACGAAGACATACATTTCTGGAGTTTTTATTATATTAAATAAAAAGGTATTATAAAAAAAAGTGTTACTCCAGTCATGTAAAAAGAAAATACAACAGAAACAAGCCAAGTTTTTATATGGGTGACAAATTCATCATATTTTCTGTATGCAGTCAAATCTTCCCAGTCCTCACCTGGTTTTCCCTGATGACTGCTGCTGTCTGCTGGCCTGGATCTTGATGGCCCCGCGATGGGTGGACATATGAGGCGAACCCCTGGGTGAAGGTCGCGGGGAGCCTCGCGGAGAAGAGCGTGACGTTGCTT